TTGGATCAGAGAGTTCTCTAAATTGCTAATGCTAGGTTAAGTACCTAAAATTATATGGCTAAAATTTCTATAGTTACTGAAAATTATAACATTTATCATATTGTACATATCGATTAGATACACATATTTAGATTACAAAATTTTCAGTATAAATCATCTTTCTTGACTACCTGGCAACAGAAACACATTTGAGATTTCAGAAATCCAGAGTAGTAGTTCAAAATTTCTAATAGAACATTTCTTAGTGTAATGATAGAACTAATGGGACACATATCAACCAACAGGTAAATCGTTATATTTCATTTTTCTCTTCAGAGAATTTCTGGAATTATACTTGACAGATAATAGCTTTAATTTTACTTAAATTCAATTTAAACTTAGCTCTGACATGAATTTCTATAAGAGCTTATGATTTTCCTTCAAGAAAACCTTTCACATTAAGAAAACTTAAAAATAGGCAACATATCAGGAAAAAACAACTTAAAGAGTTCCTAATGTAGCTGCCAGGATGTGATAATTTCTTTTTCACTACTTTTTATCACAGTTATCCATCTCTAAGTCTGTCTTTATTCCCGTCTTTGATTGTTCAGTACTTATAAATTTACACACCTTTGTATCACACAAGGTTGTATTTTGATAATGGTAGTCATCTCTTCAGTTAACCTTTTCTTAATTTCCGTCAATCAGGCAAGATGAGCATACAGAAAAGGACAATAAGCAAACATAAATCCCAAATACAGTATAAACTATAATGTAAACAAGGAACTTAGAAAAAGCAGGGAAAGACCTCTTCATTGTAAATGGTTCTGCAAACTGTCCTACAGCTTTTCCACCACTGAGAACCTGATGAAGGGATGGCTGGTAAGGTTCCCTAACTAGTCCTTTTTAGACCTACTAGACTGCTGATCTGTGACTCCATTTAATGCATTTAAAAGCATTCTCTCTTCTGATAATTCAGTAAGAGTGGAGGAATGCATTTCTCTACCTTCCTTGACGGTTTCTGTCAAGTCTAAATAGAAAAGTATCTCTGCAATTGGTACTAATATCAACACCGAGGAGGCTGCTTGTGCTTTCCCATATCAGTAACTAGGGATCCTTTTTGCCTCTAGGATACTTGTACACATGCAATAATTGATATTTTTCACTGCAGCATTGCAGGATCAATGAACTGGGTCTAGGCCAGTCAGTCTTTTAGTGTCTAAAATAGTTTAGAGTGTCCCTCCTGCAGAAATGCTGCAGAAATGGGGGTCTAGTATTTTGAGGGAGCAGGAAAAGGAAGGGAAAGAAGGTAAGGAAAGAAGAAGCCTATGCTTTTTCCTAAACCCTTTTTGTCATCCAAGTTAGCATAAATTAATTTTAGGACAGTGATGAAAGTGACACACATTCTCTTTTTAAATCAGTAACAATTATATAAAGTAATTATTTTAACTGGATGTGAACTCAACCCCCCAGATTTGGGGAGTTTGGGTTTAATTTTTTTTCCACTCAGAGATTTGCTAGCCTCTTAGAGACAATTCTAGCTGAATCAACAAAGAGAGCAAATACACATATCGTATCTATGAAAAGCAAGTTATTTTGTCAACGATAGTTCACATCTCAGATACGGAACTCACTCCCTACACTAGATTCTGCAGTGGTGGAGATAAAAGAAGATATTTGCAAAGAAGATGCCTACTTGCAAAAAAAAAGGTAAGGTAAGGGTCAGCCTGTTCTGTGGGCAGCATTCAGTAAAGTCACAGACAGCCACACTGTAAACACAGTACACACCATTTCCCATGGTTAAGCCAAATCTATCTAGAGATTAAGGGGAATACCAAACACTGTTAGGCCAGTGAGCATACAGAGCTCTGCTTTAAATCTGGTTCTCCAGGTTCTGAATCAAAGTGTTTTAAAGAAGCTGTTTCTGTCTCAGAGGTTACTACCACTCCCAACAGCATCTGAAAAGAAATTCCCCGAGGTCTTCCAGGCCTGCTGATACTGAAATACATTTAAGCTGGAGGCTTAGTTGCTCTTCACAGTAAGATCCTAACTGAAAGATAATGAAAAGCTATGGGAAAATAAGCGCAGTCAGTGACATTAAACGGTCTCAGGAGGAGCCATGTGCCCAGGATGAGTGACGAGAGTCCTTTTTAAGTGGACCTTGTGCAGCACTCCCGTTCACTCGGGCACCGTGAACTCCAGCAGTGGCTTGAGTGGTTTTTGCCTTTACTCTTTTGTATAAGAAGAGCTAGAAAGAAAATATTATTGTAAGAGTTATTTTGCTGTCATTTGTTATTTATTTTTGGTCTTTTCCCTGAAGTACAAACACTGTAGAAGCTCGCGGCCTGAATTCGAAGAACAGAAACTCATGTCAAGACAAAAACATACACAACTTATCCTTCAAGTCCTGCTTCAATGAGCTGGTGTTTTTATGTGCAGGGGTCAATAAACTCAGCACTAATGCCAAGGATCAAGTTATTAATTTCAAATTAATCTCTTCTTATTTGCTAGAGAAACTCTTGCTTGCAGCATTGCTGCTGTTTCAATGTAAAGATAATGGAGCTGGATTTGGGGTTGCTATACAGAAGGCAGAGCTTGATTATAACATCAGAGGGACAAAGAACAAAACAAAGCAGAACAAAACAAAGCAAAAAAACCCAAGTCATTTGAGGTTAAACGTATATGAACTCTACAGACAAATACATCTAGTATGCTAAAAGCTGAAATGCTAACAGAAAATAAAAGCTTGTTTTAAGTAAGAACCTACTAGGCAGCTTTTAAATACTATCCAGATAGTTATCTAAAAGAAATTCAATGTTCTTTCAGAAGTAATGACCAGCTTGTAAGTGGACAATCAGCACTCTCACTCAGCAAAATACAATAAAATCGTATTGAAGTCACATGTATACATTCGTAAAGATTATGTAGGCCTGTGGACTCTATAAGCAAGAACAGATTCAGCTCTACAATTCACATCTTGTGTACAATGCAGATATATTACTATATAGGTGTAATTTGGCTTTCCACATGCTCAGTTTCCTTAACAGGTCCCTTCCCCAAGATGAACCAGTTCTCCTGACTGGCAATTTATAAAAGAATTCTTCCTCAAATGAGATTATCTGTGACAGTCCTACATCTGTCTCTCTCCCTTACCACATAGTACCACATACATATTTCTACTTTCATACCTCTACATCAGCAGAATAAATTCTTTTCCTTAATGACTGATGCTTACACGACAAATTGAGTGTAAGATGAACTTTCCCCATACAATATTCAGAATATTGACTAGTCAGTGATTTTATTTAATTTCATATTAACTACTGAGTGAGGGAATCATTGGAAAAACTGAGAAATAGTCAGCTTAGCACTTATCCAATAACAGAGCTACTTCTTTTAAGTAGCCCTACCTTGTCCTGCAGTGACAACTGTCATGGCACCAACTTGTGAAAGATAAGGGTCTACAATTTTCAAACACTTCAGCTCCATTGGATTTTAATAAACCATAAACTCCAACTATTGCTTTAACTACTCCTAAAGGTGTGACCCTTATTTCATGAAGCTGTTGCACTGAGTTTCATTATTGCTTAGTTATTTACGTTAGTTTGTATAATGAAACAATTCCACTCAGTAGTCAGAGGCAACTTTTCAACCTAAGAGGCTAGTAGTAATAGGGAACTTTAAAAGTAAACAAAAGCAGCAGCTTAGACCCTACACTAACGGAAGTCAGCACAAACTGATGGAGGTCTCTGATTGTGGAAACTCAAGCAGCAAGATGTGTGGCAGCAGGAAATGATGAAACTATTTGCTCCATTGGGTACACTTGAGGTTGAGGTTTCCAGGGGCAACATGGTTCCCCAAGTGCATAAACTTAAATAGAGTGACAGTAGGATTCAGAGTAAGATTCAAAGGCATATCACAGATAAGTTCTTATAAACCCCTGACCACAACTTAAAAGTGACTTTTCACTGAAGCAAACCAACTTTCCCTTGAAAGAAAGCAGATGGCAGAGACTTTGTTTCCCACAACCTGCTTGAATTTCTATCCAATGCACAGGGGAAGCAGATGTTGCCATAGCCAATGCATCTAATCCTCTAAGTGCTGTGGGTTACCCATAGATTTCAATTAAACATTCTCCTTCTACGGCTGATGCACTACTATGTAGCATTTATGTCATACCTTTTGAAACTCAGCATTTCAAAACTCTCCAGCTAAAATAATTATTTCCTTGCTTCCAAAGCAACAAACGTAATGTGTTTATTCATTTGTAACATCCTGATATCAGCTTTCAGAGCAAAAAAAAAAAAAAAAAAACCAAATATTTGAAAGGAGATATTGAAGCGTGAGGGTTTTAGAACACATTGGTTTGATGGACTTTATCTCTGACAAGTTGCAGTTTAGTTACATTTAAACCAGAAGTCTACACTGAAAATTTCATTTGAATGGAGTGAATTACACACAGCAGGTGCATAATGATGGCTCCTTCAAATGGTCCTTTAATGATTTTTTAGTATTGTTAAGCACCAAAATGCTTTACAAAAACAGAGATATTGCATCCTTTTGCTAGCTAAGCATCTTTTAACATAGACTTCTTCACTTGCACTCTCCAAAGTATTTAAGAAAGTATTTCTATCTTCTCTGGAACTGCAATAATACACTTACCTACATATATTGACAGGAATAATGAAACAGCTCCAGAGATGCTGATTATGAAGATAACATTCACAAAATCATATCAGAGCTAAGACAGTGTTAACCTGAAAGGACTTACCTGCATTTGAATACGGATAACAGCTCTCACTACTCCTATGTCTTTCAAATGAAGTGATTGAGCCTTATACAGCAACGAACATTAATCTAGGTATCATCATATATCGTAGAGATACATTGGTATTGTGACAGCAAACACTAATCACTGCTTAGAGATAACTCTCTCGTTTGCTAATTAGTCATTTTAACAAACAGATTAAAATGATCTTTCCCAAGGAAAAGAACAAAAGCCAAGGAGAGAATCTACTCACATTCCTTTGAGCCGTTGCCACATTTTTTCTGCATGTCCTCCTATTTGATACTTTATAGAGGTGCTTTCCAGTTCCCGTGTTGTGTCCGTAGCTCGAGCCCCCATGGTTATTGTCCTACAGCGATACAGTCACAGTCAGGCTCAGCAGCAGGTAAAAGCATTCTGCAGTCCACTACAAATGGCAGAAGATCCACGCATGTTACACAGTAGCAGCTCTCATATCAGAACATATCAGAATTACAACAGCTGAGGGAAGATTCTGCCTGAAGTGCTATTCACTTTGACAGACAAATCCACTCTTCCCTCACACACACACAAGCACAGAGCAGTACAAACAGCTTCTCTGACCTCACGAGTCTAATCCATCCATGTGAGCCTGCTACTATACTACTAACTGACTGACTGCTGAAGCTCCTTTCTCATACACTTTGTCTGTTGTAGGAGTATACACAGAAGCACAAAAGATTCCTTAAAACGGACTAGAATTCATTGCTATGCAGGAGAAATGTGAGTGGCTCTAACAATCCAGAAGGAAAGAAAGGCTGGTTTCTGCTATGCAGGTTGGAGAAACAGGCTGCAAAAGGAAAGCAGATGGTAGAAGCCAGTATCAGCCACATCACCCTACAAAAAGAGTGCATGTTTAAATGCCACAGCTTTCATTTCTTTAGTTGATCCTGAAATGATTCTTAAAGAATAAATATCAACCAGCCTCTCAGTAACAATACGACTGAACAAATGCTAAGTCAGTACTGAAGTCATGCATAAATCCCTGCAGAAGAGGAATCAGAGAGCTCTACAGGTTGTTATTGGAGGAATATGCTGTAATGATGACTATTCACCTTCTCCTAGCAACTCCACGCAGTAGGTAACTGTCAATTTAACTGGTGGGAAATGCAGCAGCTGCAAGACAGCCTGCTCAGTGAATCCTCTGGGAATCCTTTTGACAGCATGCATGTGCCAAAACCTGATGCTGAACCGCTTATGTCTGCCAAAACAATTAAGCGCATGCAAACGGTAAAAGGGTTGAGGACTAAGTGGTATGCCAGCTGTGCGCAGATTGTCAGCTCAGTCTTTCAAGCACAGGCCTAAGCACCTAGTTGCACAGTCAAAATTGCTTTTTGGAGAGGATTTCATTGCTTCCTCAGCCATTGACTTGAGTTTGCAGAGCTCCTCCTGGACTTTGAATAGCGCCTGTCTCCATTTGTGAGTCAGTAACAATCTTCATTTCTGAAGCAGCAGCCAAGTAATCAAGTATACCACAAACTTATCTTAGTGATCGTGTTTGTTTCAATCAGGGTAAGAGCTGTACAAGAAGCCAGGCAAGAGAGGTGTGCCAAACAGGAGTAAATATATCCAAGCCTTGCCAGTTACTGCTGTCACTGCCAGCCAAGAAAAGGGGCTTTAGATCCATGACGAAATGGTGAAAAACGTCTCCTTGGATGCTGACTGCAAGGAGCTTAAGGGTGAGATGCATATCTCAGTATGACTTTAATTAGATAGCGTTAGCTGTGTTAAATTTTATGAAGATGTGAGATGATGAGAGGTCTCCCTCTGACGCAATTGGCAGAAATGGGCAATATCGTTAGGTGCTCAGGCTCACACAGAAAAATAAAAAGAGATTTGCTGCTTTTAAATAATCCTAACACTCCTCAGAATTTTCTAATTAATTTTCTTCTGCTAAGATACTTTTCCGTTTATGGTATAGATTTAAAATATCCCCTATGGGAGTTATAAAACTGCATTAGACATGCCTAATCTCACCGATTTCAATCAGATAATTAAATGGTACATTTCATTTATTTCTATGGTTTTAACATATGCATAATTCTAAACTGGTATTATTTCACTGAATTTCACAGAATTATTCCTGACTCAGACATATAGGAATCAGACCCATACATTTCACCAGCAATATTTGAAAAAATAGTCACTAGATGAGCCACGTCATTTGTAATTTTCAAAGAGCATCATAAGATAATGGTGAAAAGATACAAATAGCTGTTTTCTCAAAAACTGCAACGCACTTCTTCAGATAAAGAAGACAGTAGTATCTTTCAGACTTCAGTGAGGAACTGCTCAGGAACTTCCAAACTTCCCAGTGCTGTTATGCATGGAATCCCACTACAGCTTGTTAGAAGCAGTATAAATATCCTTCCATGGAATAACTAATGAGAAGCTCACATACTAATCTGGTTTCTTCCCTGCCTTTTAACTACCAGACATCTGAACCAATGCAAAAAAAACCAAAACCAAAAAGTATTAATATAAACCACATAAACCTCCAGGGACAGAGGGGAATTTTTAAGGGTCTATTTTTTTCTCATAAAGTATTCCCTGCTCTTGCCCAATTCTACAAGGGAAAAATAGTGGCACGTGTAAGCTGTTCTCTCTCCCCCACAAGGAAATAAGTGAAAACATATTGCTTTGGTTTACTGGAAAGAAATATTAGCAGTAGTTAATACCCTTCAGGTAGGGAGGAAGGAACAACAGCCAAAACAATATCATTGTGAATTGAGATATACCTGCTAATTTCACCAAAACTCCCTGAAGAAAAATAGTACAAAGGGTTCCTTGTGGGACCACATTGCTGAAAAAACAGAAATCCCTCCAACAGAATACCTCTGTAGGCTTCAGCAAAAGCCTCCCCAAAAGTTTTTCTTGAGGGCCAAAACAGTAAACCACCAGATATGACCCTGAATGATGAAAATGTGTCACTGAATATGAGAACAACAACAGGGAACATACAAAAACTGATAGATAAGGCATTCAAAAATCAAGCAGGTAGCCAGAGAAAGTGCTGTGTGTGCCCCCAGGGAGAGAGAAACAAACCATAGATTGAAATAAAGATTTTAGTTACAGTACTATCTTGGAAAAGTGAGCAATGAAATCTTGATGGAGATGTGGAGAAAGGAAGGACTCTTCTCTCCCTTTAGCTTCGATGAATAAAGTAGCATCTTCTCTGCACCTCTCTTCCCACCCAGAAGGAAGGAAGGCCCAGAGGCTGAGGCCAACACCTTACTGGCTGCAAGAACTGTCATGGGGCAGAAACATCAGTAATTTGCTGCTGCAATAATGGACAACCACTAATTACTGCCGCTGTGTGACAATGAGGTGATCTGGGAAGGAATGACGGCCGATCTGACTTGCTCAGAAATACATGTCTGTGTGCTTGTGGTACAAACCGGTCTAATGAAGATCCAGAATACTGAACAATGAGCAGTTGCTGTAGGAACTGACATTAATCAGAAAGATGGTGCCTCAAACGATAAATTATCCTAAATAGTTTTTCTGTGGCCGCTTCCTGTTCTTGTTCTGCTTTCCTATTTTGCCCTGGCCAATCCAGGATTTGTGTTATGGTCCCAACAAACTGTTATTAGAGTCCATTTCCTCCTAAAAAAATATAATGTTTTTGCCCTTTGCCTATAGGGTTTTTTTTTTTTTTAAGTTCAGCTTAAAATTTCTGGATTAAAATGAACACTAAAATAAGAATAATTATTTTTTTCACCCTTAAAATGAGGGTGAAAAAGGCCCCAATACTACTTAATCCTCAGATACGAAGCTACACTAAATGGTAATGTAGCCTAACCCCTTTCCCTTTTAACCAGAAATGCTTCCCTTCTGTAAGAAAAACTATCAATATTATATGCAAAGAAATCATTTCATTTTAAAGTACATCCAATAGTAAAGAAATCAGGTTGACTTTTCAGTATTGAATAATAAAAGACATTTACAATTATGCCAAAAATCACATAGTTACAATGAAAATATCTTCCTACCTTAAAACAGGGAAAATTCTGCAGCTAGACCACTAACACATTGGCTAGGGAAACAGGAAAAAGGGCAAGTGCAACTTGTGGTGAGGAGAAATAGAGCTTGATTTTAAATAAATCCTTTGCTCCTGAGGGGAAATTAAACATTCTGCTTTGTCTGAAATTATCTTCAAAACATGTAATTCAAGACTAATGCAGAAAAAGGAAGTAACAAGAGGCCTACAGGATGATTTTTCATAATAATACTCATCCTTTCAAACCTGACAACACAAGCTTCCCTATGGTGGAACTGCAGAAGAGCCATGAACCAATTAGGAACTTTGAAAACATCAGGAAAAAAAACACAAAAACCAGATAAATTTCTTTTAACTAGTTGCAGCATGTATTAGGTATCCATGCCAAGTGCCCTGGCTCTGATCGAGCAAGGGCTAACACACGCCTAATTTTAAGCAGGTAAGGCACTGCAGTTATTTGCTGGGTGGAACACAGTTCGGCACCGTGACAGCCAAGCCCTGTAGCAGAAAATGCATGACCAGGTTTTACTGCTAATATTGTGGACTAGAACTATCCCACTGAATATCCACCAGTGTTTCCCACTTCACTGGAAAACAAACTGTATACTTTTGTTACTAGACAGCATTTTTTCTTTTTGTACAACAGGAATGCTTTCTGCTACAAGCATAATTCTTAGATGTTGCGATCATATATTTTGACCTATACACATTATTGAACTGTTGCTTATTTGAAAAGCTGCAAAATGTACAAATTTAGTACTCCACTTTCTACTTAACACTTTTTAAACACCAAGGGTGTTTGTAACTTTATCAAGTCACCAGTTAGCTTTCTGAATACCAACTATGATCACTTGCATAATACAATTGCTTTCAATGCAATTTCCTCCAGCAAGCCCAGAAACTTCTCTTGAAATAAAGCATATCAGAATCTACTATTTGTTAAAGATTTTGTGACACAGAATTGACCAGCTCTTTGATATCTGTTCCCATTGTTGCTCCTTATCTATGTTTTTCCAGTTTTCATTGGGCCTGCGTATAACTGCAACTGCGGGTAAGTACTGCCTCATTTGAAAGGCCAGCCAATGTCATCAGACTTTACACCATTTCAGACTCCTAGTTTTCTAAATTCAGAAAAAATGCTTTACAATTTTCACATCAAAAGTAAAAGGGAAGGGGAAATAAGCATGCAGAAATGTATATTAGCACACCATGCTCTTCCAATACTTCCTTCCTAGTCCTCAGTGTCCCTCCTCTGTGACAAGATAAAGCAGCTGAAGCTGAATTTACTTGTACATTATGGGCTGATGTGTCTCCCTTTGAAGAAACCATGATTTGTCTTCCCTCCTCACCACTTTTTCATTTATACATACTTAAAGCAGAGAACGAAATTCCAGAGATACAAAATATTTATCAGAAAAAAAGGACTGAAATTCTTCGCTATTGCTGTATCAGTTTCTAGCTGCATTTGGCATTTTCCAAAGAGAACAACCACCCCTCTCTCGCCAAAATACAAGAAAGCAAGACTTTGTTTTATCTGAGGCTCTTTACATGTCCCAAAGTATAAGTAATGTCACTGGTTTGCAAAAACTCTACTACATTTTCCTACAACTGTGTTCCTTTTCATTTTGTATGTATGTTCTGCACATTTTCCAGATTTGAGTTCTCTCCCTGCAAATACTCACACAAATAGGGATGATTATTACCTTGATGAATGTCATTAAATTGTTTAATCCATTTAGCATGCTTTTTGTGCTCTAAAATTAGTGAGTGATAACCTGCCTATTGCTATGTCAGGAGAGGAAACTGATAAAAGCATTAAAGACTATAAGCAGGTCACCTATTTTCCATCCATCCATGCAGCAATTCAAGTCAGAATATGTTAACAACAGAATTAAGTTTTATTAAGACCTGATTTATTAAGGCCTTACTAAGACCTGATTTATCTCTGACTATTCTATGATAAATATATTTTCCAGTTACATATAATCCAGGTACAC